AGGGGAGGCAAGGGAAAGGGCGCGAGGGCATAAAGTAGGTGTTTTGTACCCTACATGCTAGGGCGCTTTCCTAATTATAAACAGAGGTCTACTGATAAATGTTTATTAGGGAAATCTATGCGGGGATACTCCCTAACCATTTTAAATGCATATTCATCACAAAATATAACTCCTCTGGTGAGATATTGCGCATGCGCTAACACACTAACGTAGCCAGATTGTGTACTGGGTGGTATACGCAGAGGGGAACTTACATGCAAGGTCTTCCTCCTATTTCTTAAATGATGTCAACTGATGGAATGTTATCATTTAAATCTATGATAGGGTAACTCCTCTTCATTTTAAATGCATAATCTTTGCAAAATACGATTTCTCACGTGAGATATTGCGCATGCGCGCGCACCGTGTTAGGCGTGCAGTGCCGTCTGAGGCAAACTTCATAGGCATCTTCAGGCGACAGATATCCACATCCAAGTGTAGCTTTAGCTCACCTCGTCCCCCGCCGCTGGCCTCCAGCACCCGTCAGCACACTCCGACAATAACCATTCCGCGACCGGAAATAGTTCTTTTAGTTTACGTATTTTAGTATTGCTAAAACAAGTTACCATGGTATACACCGATTGTATTACCCATAGGCATAGATATAGCATTAAATAGGGGAAAAAACAAGACAAGCGCCAGTGCAGCACTCGGTAAGTTATTAGTAACACGCTATAGTGTTGCCGGCGTTATTTTTGTATGACGGGGGCCTAAGGCCACCTATATAGAATTGTAATAATAGTGTATGATGGGGGCCCAAGGCCACATATATAATATTCGTATGACGGGGGCCTAAGTCCACATATATAGTATTGTATATGACGGTGGCCTAATGCCATCTATATAGTAATGTAGTATAGTGTATGCTGGCGGCCCACCAAGGTCATATATTATAGTAATGTGTATGAAGGGGGCCTAAAGCCTTCTATATAGTAGTGTGTGGTAAGCCTTGGTTGGAAGCTATACCGCCTCCAGCAAAGAAAAGTAGGCTGCATCACTTGCACAGTGTATTATTGCGTCAGCGGGGCCCTAGGTCCCCGGTGGCTTAAGGCCACACTTGGATGTGGATATCTGTCGCACCCACACACACACACACACACCTCTCCAAACTGCATGCAGTGCCCCTTCGCTCAATCAGGATACGTAGATTGAGCCCATGAGCGAGAGCGCTATCTGTAGTGGAGTTTGACAACTCTCTCTCCTTTCTCTCTCAACCTAGAACAAGAGCGAGTGGACATTCTGCGGGGAGTGAAGCTCATGCGAGTGACAGCCGATAACGCCATGCTGGAGCAGACGCTTGCAGACCTGCGCACTGAGGTCGAGCGGCTGCAGCTGTACGGCAGACGACTCACGCTAGAGAAGGGCATCCTGCAGGTAACAGCGCCGCCTAGCGACGATAGCCGCGCCACCTAGTAGCCGAGAACAATACATATAAATAAATATTTATTCATTTATTTATATATATATATATATAATATTTATATATATATACAGAGAAGTTAAAGGGATTTGTTACGTGCTGCCACATGCCGCTCGAATTCGTTGACCGATCTTCATTTACATTTACTTTTATGTAACTTACATTTAACATTTATGTAAGTTACGCCATAGGCCTATATGTGTATGCTTATTTGCTAAATGAAACGTGTCTGTGAGACCAAATGTCGTTTTACTACCGTTATAGAGGCATTCAATATGATTCGTTCGTTAAAAACATCAGTTGAATGACTGTCTCGGCTGTTTAGCAGTCACTCACCTTCACGTGACCTCGGTACAAACATGGCGCCGTAGCGGTGGCGCTTCATGTCGCTGTATATATTGTTCTGAGGGCGTAGTAGCGGGATAGCTGGTCTATAGCGACGGTGAGTAGTGCAGGAATCACACGCAGATTGATCGATAATTGGTAATTAGAATCTATATCGATCATTAATGTCGATAATCGGTATCCGAAAGTTTGTAGTCGATATTAATCTTTATTAATCAATAGTCAATAGCAATAACTATGAAGTGAGAGATGGGAAGGAAGAGAGAAATAGGTGAATAGGGAGTGACAGAGGTATGATCGCGAGAGAGAACGAGACAGAGGGGAGAATAGACTGGGGAAGCAACCTGCACCCAACCATAAGTTTAGACTGTCGCTGCGTCTCACCGCCCATGTTGTTGCAGACGAGCGTGCTGCAGCAGGCGGAGAGGGAGGAAGGAGAGAGGAGCAGACTAATGCACGAGATCACCACTCTCCGCAGCAGCAACCTTCACCTGCTGAGTCAGCAGCTCACGAAAGGTGACGTCACCATCGTCATCATCATCGTCATCGTCATAAAAAAAAACGTTTTGTTTAGTTTTGATATTTAATTATTGCAGTCGGTTAGAATTACTAACAATCGATTGAATTTGATATTGAATATTATTATGAAATTAAATTAATAAACGATAAAAGAAATTCGTATTGTCGCTATATTGTGGCTTAGACTGACATCACGTCCGTTACAGATGGTGAGCTGAACAGCCGCTTCGAAGTGATGTTGAAACACGCAGACGACGTGGCGACCGTCTACAACTACGCCATGCATCTTCAGGAGAAGGTAGTCTCATCATGACTCTCTACCGCTACCATGCTATCTACACACACACATATACACACACACACACACACACACACACACACACACACACACACACAC